TCACAGGGGATGCAAAGAACAGTTACTCATAGATTCAGTCATTCTACGGCAAGCACACAAACAAAACAGAAACATACACATGGCATATATAGACTACAGAAAAGCATTTGACAGTGTTCCACACTGTTGGCTGCTACATATCTACACATGTATAAAATACATCCATCACTCATTGCATTCTTCCAAAACACTATGCAGCACTGGAGAACAACACTGCATCTCAGGTTAGTAACACTTCCATACAAACAAATGAGATATTCATTAGGCGAGGAATTTTTCAAGGAGATTCCTTGAGTCCTCTCTGGTTCTACCTAGCCCTGAACCCATTATCCAATATGTTAAACAACACACATTATGGCTACAATATCAGACATGGAAAAAACAACACAGTTTACGCTGTCACATCTCATGTACAGTACATGGACGACGTAAAACTATATGCATCCACACAGAAACAACTTCATCAACTCCTACAAATCACACACTCATACACTAAGGACATACAAATGGAGTTTGGCTTAGATAAATGCAAAAAACTTCACATAGAAAAAAGGAATTCTGAAAAAAGACGATTTTGCACTTGGAAATGGGGAGATTATTGAATCCACGGAAGAGGGTGAGTTCTACAAGTATTTAGGATTCCAACAGGCCAAGCTAACAGAACATACACAAATAAAGCAACGATTAATTAAAGAATACCAAAGTAGGTTAAATACCATTCTCAAAACACAGCTAAATGCAAAACACACAGTTAAAGCAATAAACACATATGTCATCCCAGCACTCACTTACTCTTTTGGAGTTATACATTGGACTCACACAGATCTTGAGCAACTCCAAATGAAAACAAGAACACTTACTAAGCATAAACAACATTGGACTCACACAGATCTTGAGCAACTCCAAAGGAAAACAAGAACAACACTTACTAAGCATAAACAACATCACCCTAAATCCGCCATAGAAAGATTAACCCTTCCACGTAAAGATGGCGGACGTGGCCTGATTGACATAGTTAATTTTCACTATAAACAAATACAGTCACTGCGAGAGTTTTTCTACAGGAAACAAGAAACATCACAATTACATAAAGCAGTAACTCTAGCAGACTCAAAAAGCACACCATTAAACTTACACTCACATCATACAGACATGACACAACACATAAAAAGCATAGACACTATCAAGCAAACATGGGCTCAAAAGGCACTCCATGGCAGGCATCCTTATGACCTGGCCCAGGGTTTTGTTGACAAAACTGCGTCAAACAGCTGGTTAGATCGGGGATGCCTTTTTGGGGAGACGGAAGGATTCATGATTGCCATACAGATCAATTCATAAATACTAAAAACTACAGAAAACACATACTCAAAGATACCCAACACTCACAAATGACACATGCAGAAAATGTCACATTATGCCAGAAACTATACAACACATCACTTCTGGTTGCAAGAGCTTACAAAGAAACACAACCATCACAAACGACACATGCAGAAAATGTCACATTATGCCAGAAACTATACAACACATCACTTCTGGTTGCAAGCTATTGGCACAAACAGATTATTTACACAGACATAATCAAGTAGCAAATATAATACACCAAGAGCTTGCAAACAAACACAGACTGGTAGACATTCACGAACCATACTACAAGTATATTCCGCAAACAGTATTGGAAAACAACACGCACAAAATGTACTACGACAGAGCCATAATCACAGATAAAACAATTTACCACAACAGACCAGACATCACACTCATTGATAAACACAATAAAATCACATACATTATAGACATAGCCATTCCAAACACTCACAATGTACAAAACATTGCATGATGCAAAACATGCACTGAAAAAATTAGCATGTACACAGAACTCGCCCAGGAAATCAGGCATCTGTGGAGGATGGATAGGGTGGTTATTGTACCTGTTGTTCTCTCCTGTACAGGTGTGATACCACACACGCTGCACAAGAGTCTGGGAACATTACAATTGAGTAGAAATACATACATCACACTACAGAGGGCCGCTATATTGAATACATGCCATATTGTTAGGAAATTCCTGAATACTGACACTGACACTGACACACACATTTAATTTTAGTTTTGTTTTGGTTGCTATGCCTTGACTCTGGTCCGGCATAGTACACAGCCACCGGCAATGTTCCCTCTAAGCTGCGCGGCTGCGCGGCCGCGCACTGCTCAAATTGTTGCCGCGCACGAGAATTTATGTGCTGCACAGGCGAGCATGCACACCGATTTGAATTGTTGTTTACTTATTTCTCACTCTGTCTGCAACATGATTATTGATGCGTATATTTCGATTAAATACATTAAATCATTGACAAAACATAATATTTCGTATAAAAGTATGTTTTAAAATGAATTTTAATCTCTACTTTATAACTAATTATTTTCATTTTTACAGGAAAAAATAAGATTATATATATATATATATGCTCAGAAAATATTTTTGCTCAGAGAAGTATATGTTCCGCTCATCTACAAAAAAAATTAGAGGGAACATTGGCCACCGGTGTGAACCGAGTATAACTCATAAAACCCAACATAATAATAATAATATGCAGTGATATGAAAAAAGACACTGAGAACATGGCGTGGAAAGAAGGAAATTTAAAAAAAAAAAAAAAAAAAATTCTTAGCTTAATTTATAAATAATAAGATATAAGAACAATTCACTGTCAATAATTCATTCTCAAATTGTCCCTATGGGGAGTGTGCCCCACGTTGGGAACCATGGATCTAGACGTGCGACTAAATATTCAGATGGCACAACGCGCTGATTGGTCAGCTAAATGACGTCAACCTACTAAAATCGGAAATGTTGATCGATCAGCCTAAACTTTGTATTGTTGTTGTTGTTGTTGTTGTGAGAGCGGGCAGACATTATATAACAGTTATAGATATTTCATCTAAAACTTGATAAAAGGCACTTATTTATAATTTCACTAGCTCTTGTATCTATTGACATTAATTGAAAATTTTGCAATAATTTTAACATTAAACTAAGTTACGTGATAGCAAAGATTTTAATGCCGAGACATTTTTAAACATCAAGAAGTAACTTTTATCTGTTTTGTATTTTTTTAAAGCTTTTTTGTACATTTACTTTAATAATAAAATAATCAAAAACAACAAATATAAATTGCAAATTAAGTTTTTTTTTATTACATTCTTTATTAGACAATACAGTATTTTTAACCTTAAAGAAACTTGTATTTAATGTTATATATATATATATATATATATATTATAACAGAATATGCTAAGTGGAAATGCAGATTAGTTAACAATTAATATATATTTTCACCTAAACATAATTCGTACTTTTTAATGCATAATTGTTAAAACATTTTAAATAATAAGTTATTTTTTTCTACAAATTCTCTAATCCGTTGGTTTGCTTTTCAAATCAAAAAAAACTTAAATATAGACACTGGATATATATTTTTCTACGCAACCAGGTATACGGCACATACAAGGCATCTAGAAATAGTTTTCATTAGTATGGTAATATTATTTTAACAAAAAACAAAAAGGATTAAAAAAAATAGTTTACTATGAAAACATTACAGTACAAATGTAACATTACTTTTTCCCGACACATATTGATAAACAATTTCCACGATGAAATGTATGGAAATTCTTATTTATAACATATATAACTATTACATTCAAAGGAATTTACGGTATTATTGATTGTTAAATAATTTATACAAGAATTCTATACTTTTAATTTGAAAAATGGTCATACAAATTTGATTAAACATATTTACAGATATATTCATGATGAAACTGGATACATGAAATTTCTGTAAATTTGAAAAGTATTGTTTCTTAACACACAGATGTTGAACTGACATTCAAAAGCACAAAATGTCTATTGACAGAAAGAACTGTCAATTCTAACTAAAACATTTTTTAAAAAAAATTCTGATAGGAGTGATCTATGGAGAATATTCTTTATTCAAAATTGTTCAACAACTTTTACATTTAAACTTTATAATTTGTTAAGCAAGATTTGTGAAAATTTCTTTTTTAAAGGTATACAAAACTTCGTTAATTTTATTGTTTCGTCTAACTATATTAAATGCATGTGACAAATTCAAAGAATATTCTGACTTATCTTAATTATAAATTTCATCGTTTCTCGAACTTTTTATGAATAATATTTGTAACAAAGTATAAATTTTCTGTTATTTATTATCCATGCACGTAAGTTTTAAACACTAATCGCACTATTAAAATGATCTATTGTGTACGATTTGATTCAGAGGTGCATAAAGATCAAGTATGAAGTTAAATGTTCAAAAAAATAATCAGCTGTATTTTCACTTTATACTCGCTCCATATTACAACTAAAAAAAATAATCTATTTCGTCACGATTCGTTCTGACGACCACAAAATATAATCTATACTACAGTGGGTTGACGTCATTCAGCTGATCAATCAGCGCTTTGTGCCATCTGAATATTTAGTTGCACGTGGATCTAGAGTCTAGACCAGTGTTTCTCAACAGGGGCGATATCGCCCCCATGTGGGCGTTTTTCCATGTTTAGGGGGCGATTAGTAACAATTTATATTTTGGGGTTGCGAAAAACATTTTTCTGGGCGATGTAGTAAAACATTATATTAAGAATAATTAGATATTTTATTTNATTAATTATTCTCTTAGTAATTTATTTAAAAATATACACTATTATTTACAACCTGGTATAAATTTTAATTGTATTTATTAATTAAAATATAGGATTTGACTTTATAGTATCACAAATTCCTATCGATGACAATTATGAATTGCGATTGCACATCCTTTTCTATTTAACTTCAGTAGTAAATTGTCACGTCCTAATTCGTTTGTTTCCTGACACATTTATGAAATTCACGAGTTTAAATTGTCTTATTGATATATTAAGGCCTTTTAATGTAATTATATATTACGAAATATATTCGTGTTTATTATTTTCAGATATTGTGCTCGTAATACAGCTGGATAAACAAGCCAATGGCATACATCGTTTCATTTGGAAGGGGCTACGTCATTGGTTTGCTTATCAGTTGTATTAGCTTCACGAAACAAGACCCTCATCGGAATCGAACGTTATGATTATATTTAACTGTTTTGTTTATTTATTCGCATCTCCATAAGTTTTACATGATCAATTTTATATCAATATTTTTCAGTTTCCGACAAAACGAAGAGATTACGATTAGTCATATCTAAAAGTATTATCTAATCTTGTCGATACGACGTAGGTCTTATACATTTTTAATTGTTAACAATCAACCTGTGAACATTGGAGTGCACAAAAAAAAGAAAAACAGTAAGTAGAATATTTAAAATTAAATGTATTAAATTGTATTGTAATATATATTTAATATACAATAACAAAATTATAGTAATGGAGAAGATGAAATATTATAAGGAAGTGGGTGGAGTACACATGTTCACTTTTTTATCAGAAGAATCTTTTTTGTCTGGAATGAATTATAAAGCGAAACCTGGAGATTTATTTCTTGCTAGTTATCCGAAATGTGGAACAACTTGGATGCATCAGATAGTCAAGTTGATTTTTGCTAAAGGTCAAATATCAGAAGATCCGTTGGATTTAATTTTTAGCTTTCCTTTTGTAGAAGTTTTGGGAGCAGAATACTTAGAAACGGCCAAACCTAAAGGCATGAGAACACATTTACCTTTTTTTGCTGTGCCTTACTCGCCAGATTCTAAATATATTTATGTTACCAGAAACCCTAGAGATTGCTGTGTTTCATATTACCATTTTATGAAACTGCTGCCATTTCCTGGCGAGTTAAATTTTCAAGAATTTCTTGAAGTCTTTCTCGAAGGTAATTTAGGATACGGAGATTATTTCGATCACCTTCTTGAATGGTACAAACATAAAAATGACGACAACGTTCATTTTGTAACGTACGAAGATCTCAAGAAAGATATTAAGGGAGAAATTTTGAAAATAGCCAAATTCCTTGGTGAAGAATATGAAAAATGTATTTTGAATGATGCGACAATATTAGAAAATATTATTCGTTACAGCAGCTTTGATTATATGAAAGAAAGCAGTAAGAAGAACCTTGATGTGTTTTTTAAAAAGGACAAAAAATGGCTAGAAGATAAAAATTTACCTCCTGGAGCGATGAAATCTATACAGAATTTTAATCAAAGTGGAAGGGATACAGAAGGTGGGACGTATGTTAGAAAAGGGATTATTGGAGATTGGAAAAATCATTTTAATGAAGAACAAATACGATTGTTAAATGAAAAAATTGTCGAACGAACAAAAGATAGTGATGTCATGAACTTGTGGAAAGATATTTTTTAGAATAATTAAATACATTACCGGAAAGCTTGGGACCGGGACCGAAAGTAGTCCGGATTTCTGAGACAAGCTAAATATATAATCAAAATATAAAATGAACGAAATTGTAATCAACACACCATATGCCAGCAGTTACATTGAAATTGGTGACATACGACTCGTACTTCATAGAAACCATAACAAAGCAGCTGCGCGTTGAACTACAGCTTTACTACAGCCTGTCAAATTCAAAACTGCCAATTTCAAAAATAGACAGTTTTCTGAAAGCCGAATACTGGTCCGGTACCGTAAGCTCGCTAATCCAACCTCTTAATTATCTGATATGTCTTTTAAGCAACTGGGATCAAATCCGGACGAATAAAAAAAAAACACCAAGATAGTTTTGGGGGGTGGTCCATTGGATATGTTAAACCTTCTGGCCGTTCCATAATGGACTTTCCGAAAAGGCCTTCTTAGTGCCCATAGGTCGGAAAGAGTTTAAAAAACCCAAGGTCCCACATAAGCTCTCGACGGCCCTTATATACCGTATATGAGATTTTTAAAAATAAGTTTAATTTACAATTGCTTAAGACTTAAATTGTAGTTACAGGCATATTTCTATGAAATTATTTTATTCAAACAGAAAATATATCCTTTTATAACACTAATATTGTGTGTAAACACAAAAACGATTAAATTTATTGTACTCTAACTCTTACGAATTTTAATAAATATTATAAAAAATTGAAATTTTATTTGATTCAATTATATAAGTCAACATTGATCTTTTGAACCTCAAACGTCACTCGTCATTTCTCATTTATGGCAATAAATAAATACAGTCTGTCTAAAACAAGACACGAATAAAACGAATACTTGCGAAAAGGAAAAAATAATTCGGTACCGTGCGATTTCAGTTTACACAAATTTTATTGTATACAGTAATACCTCGACTTACGCTACCCCGACTTATGCGAACCCGGAGTTACGCGATTTTCAAATCTCGTCGATTCGTCTTTTGTTTGAGCGCCAAGCAACTCTATTACTCACTCCCCACACACTATTGTTCAGCTTACATGTTCGGACGTGTCGCGCGGAATCGACACATAGCTACAATTTATTTTGTGTTATTTATTTCTGTGTTTGTTATATCTACGGAGACTCGAGAGACTCTATGTGGTGATTTCTTGTAACCGTGAACGAATCAAAAGACGAGATAAGATTAACGAGAACATTTATTAGCTTACATACATCCTACTTGGATTTTACACAAATTGCGAAATTATACCCCGACTTACGCGGTTATCGCTCGGTCCCACCTATCGCGTAAGTTCGGGATATTACTGTACAATGTAGAAAACTTTTCCATGGCAAGCATTCGACGAAGTCGTCTCGCCGCCATTTTGTGAACAACATACGTCCACTCTGGACAGATATCTCTCTCGTGTGGAATGCGTACCTCGTACAAAGATTCTTTCCGTATACGGTCTTTGGACTCTGCCACGTAGGACATATTCTAACACACAGAATATATATAGTATATATAACAAAATACACTCAAAAAAAAAAAAAAACACTGAAAACATGTGGACTGATCTAGGCAATCATCTGCGACTGCGATCTGAACTCGAAGCGAATTTTTGTCAAATTTAGCGTTAGAACTCTGAAGCATTCGAAGTACTAACAAATAAATACATTATAAGTATTTATGAATTAAAAAAAAATTATACGCGAGAATCGAACCCGAGAACTCAAGCTTATGAATCGGACTCGTTACCACTCTGCCACAGGACGCTCAAATAGAAGTACGTATAATTTATATATAAAGTGCTAAAAAAGTTTAAGTTCGATTTTCTTGACTATATTTGAGTATTGCACTTTAGTATTTTACAGGTAGTACACTCACATGTACTACCTGTACTACTTCTACACCAAAGATTGTCAAAATCCGTTACCCCAAAGCCGTAGGCTCTCCTTGTAAGTACCACTATTTGTTAACTATTTTCAATTTGTATAAGAATAAAGATGTTAGTGTTAATATTCTGTAGGAATATGGTATTCTCAACGTTTTTTCAAAAAGGTAATAAAATATAGTTACACTAAGAGCCAACAAATCGAAATTGTAACAAAAGTTTATAGGTGTGATTTTGATGTTAGGACAGACGTAAATGCACAGATCAAAGATTTTTTTTCTTTCATTAAAAAAGCTACCAATCTTGACTAATCAGGAATTATTATTAATATAATTGCGATATTTCGCCCTAGAATTGCGAAATATTATTCTAGGCACGAAATATCGCAATTAAAAACACCTTACTAAAAACTTAGGAGTGAACGGATCAACCATTCGTGAAAGCATATTTCAGTAGCCTAATAACCCATTCGGTTAAGCGTTTTCGAGTTTCTGGACGACAGAAGGGTTCACATTGACGCAACGATTTTACGTAATAATACCCCACAGAAATATATGGATAATTTATTATGGGTCGCCGATAAACCGATGCGGAGTCTTGATTTTTAACCGAATCTCCGTAACTCGAAATCTTAACTCCCAAGTCCGAAGTTTTCTTCCCCACCGATTCTAGTTAACCAGGTTCCACTAAAGTAAAAACACAAGTAATACTTAAACAATTTTAATGTTAATCGTTAATTGTAAATGGTTGCATAAGTACCTAGGCTAATAGTGTCCAAACTATGGCTGCTGGGTCAAATCCGATCCGCAAACCTACGTGATACATCACTTATAAACTAAAAAGCCTATTTTTATCATATGGAATATATAAAATATTTGTGACCCATCTAACTACACCTTACGCGCTATTTGATCCGCTAATCGAAGTTTGGACTGATCTAGGCAATCATCTGCGACTATTTGGAGCGGAGCGTAAATTTATGCATTTTAGTTTTATGCGGTATTTGAAGGAAAACGATTCATTGCTGCTATTTTGAACTTCACAATTAAATTACATGTCATTAACGCTCAAACAATATGCGTCAAATTTCATTCAGTTCTTAGAACTAACGCTTCATTTACGTTCACCTTTATTTTAAAACTGCTTGGGCAATAAAATTGATTTTTCAGAACTATAAATTTTTTTTACTTCTCAACATTAAAATGAATATTTTATGCTCTCAATTTATACGTTCTAAAATAAAGAAGAAATTTAATGCAACTAATAAGTTTGATATTTTAAAAATAGACAATTCAGAAATTGGTTGTAAGGATAAAGGTGGATTATTTTTATAAAAAAGTCAATCTGGCAAACTATGAAAATACAGAGATATTTATTTAAGAGTAAATGGTGTTTATGTCCACCTCATATAAGACGCATTCCATTTTCAGACAATATTTTTCAGGAAGAAAATGTATCTTATATTACAGGCAAATATGATAATTGTAATATTGGAAAGAAAGGTATTTTTAACTTTCTGATTTTAGAATTTTTTTAAAAAACAATTGTCAAAGGATTACAATTTTTGATATATGGTTACAGTACATTAATTTATTGATATAAAACAATTTAAGAATTCCTAAACTTTGAATAGCATTGGCATTATCATCAAATTGTTTTGAATAAACTAACATTCAGAAAGAAAAAATAAATAGAGCTCATTCTTTTGAACTTTTTCTCCTATTTAAAAAATATTTGGAGACTTCTATAAATAAGTAAAACAAGTCAAATTTAAGACATCATCTTATGAACAATATAATATTGTTTTGCTTTTGTCAACTTAAAATAGGCTCCTTAATTTCTATAAAATTTAAATTCTATTGGTATAAATTGATTGAAAAAATAGAATTACATGGGAGTTTTTTAAATTCCATTTCATATTCAAATACTCTAAAGCAAAAAAGCAACTTATTATAATTTAGCGGGAAAATATTTGGGTTACTGTTCTAGTAATATTCTTTGATAGTCATTAATAAATATTGTTTGCCACAAAATGTAACTTATTTAAATCCATTTAAGCATATCACTTTAATATAATGGTAAAATCAGTTTATGAATATCATTAAATATTTTTTATATAAAATTAAAATATTAATTTTAGAAAATATCATTTGTCTACTTATATATATTAATGATCTGTGTAAGAATGGATGTATATCCTCAGCTATCTTAGTAGAATGCTGAGGAATATCATTGCTATAAAAAGCTTAATCATCATATATAGCACACTTTCAAGTGAAACATACTGTAATTTTAAGATTACATATATAAAATATATATAACAATGTGTTACAAGACATTGCATTTTATTTGAAATGTATTAGTTAATTAAAAGTAATTAGAAAATCTCACAAGGCAGTTGGTACTGTACATCTTGGATACATTTCCAATAAATTATACTGTAATTAGTTTTGTTTAAAAAAATGAAACTAATAATCCTAAGGAAAAAGAAATTTTGAGTAAATAAACTGGAACAATTGTTCTAAATACAGCTTTTCTATAATCTGAATTTGGCTGGTCTAAAAAAGGATTCTGGATTCTTTTAATTAATACAAGCATGCATAAATATTGTATTTATCCATTAAATCTTTGACTAAAACAATGTCAATGAAATTTATTATTATTTAACAACAAATAATTATCACTGGTTTGATGAAATTACTATTTAATGNTTAAGTTCATAAATTCTGTTTGTAGTTAAAAATATAGAATTTTAATTTGAACTCACATGAATATCGAGCTCTCTAACAATCACTTTTAAAATGGTTCGAAGGACTTTAAAGTTTACTACTCCTACTTCTGGAGTATTCAGAGCCACATCGATTAATTGATCCAAAGTAAAAATTTTGCTTTCCATACTACTATTAATTTGTTCCTTTGAATAATTTATTTTAATTAGTTTAGAATGTTTCACTCGAATTATCTCAATTAATTTTAAAAAATTTGGAATTTCAAGTTTACGAGTGTAATCTTATCTGAAAGCACATAAACGTTCAATAATAAATTTAAACAATTAAATATATTTTTTTTATTTGTTGAAATCACGAGAAGATATTTAAGTGAATTTATTTTAAAACATTAGATATAAAAGAAAATATACTTACAACTCATCTTGTCACAACTTATTAAATGCCTAAGCTTGCGAATGATCATTGATTCTACTGGGTGTATTTATACTTAAATTTAACAGAAATCTATAAAAATATAATTTTTAAAATTTATATTGTATATTATTTCAGTAAATTTTCAAAACAAGTTACATAATTTGCACATTTAACATAACAATAACAATTTTCATACTGCCTTTCAGGTACTGTTTTTAACAGTATTTAAAAAGCCTTTACTTTTTATCTTGTTGCCTCATGTATTCCAACTGCAGTTCTTTCAGATTTGCTTCTAACATTTGAACTTCATCGTACTTTTGATCCATTCGGGCCTGTTTTATATAATTACGTATGATATTCATTTGCTGTACCATAGGATCATCACTAGCACTGACATTCTGATCGCTTGTGTTAGCAATCCAACCTGTCTCTGTGGAAATAGTTTCTTGAATGGATTCTTTAGGCGAAGTGGAAACTGTAGAATGTGAAGATAATTCTCTTTTGTGTGTTTTTTGTTGACTTCTCTGTTGGGCTTCTAGGGCAGCTTGTTTTTCTTGTTGAATACGAAGCTGCACTTTTTGCCTATGGGCCTCTTGTAATTTTGTTAAATTTTCTGAACTGGGAAGAGTTGGAAGATTTAACATTTGTTCTCTTAAAAAGTTACTTGCTGATAATCTAATGCAACCTTGCAACTGGAGTACTTTTGGATTTGGTGCACTTTCACTTTGGGTGTCCAGTGTGGCAATTTTTCGACTATTTTAAAAAAAACTTAGTTTTTAATATCATTAATAAAACATAATACAGGTATCCGTCGTACAACATGGTGTTTCTACAACACAGTTTCACTCTAATGTAGTTTTAAAACTAGGATAACCCCATACAACATGGCTTCAGGTTTCACTCTAACAAGGTTTTGAAAATTCTCCATACAAAATTTGATAATTTTTACGTGCAAACTCCATTATTCTATATTTTTAAAATTTAAGCAAGCATGCATGTTATCTCAAATTTGCTCATGGATTTTAGAATATTGAAATTTTCAAATTATTTCATGCTTTTTGTCAGGTTTACTTTAAATGATAGGACAAGAAAGAAAAAAATTGCACTAACTTTATCAACGAGGTATCATTAGTGTTGCTTTTAGACTTTAGCCCTTAAGATTGACTGTCATTGTATTTTCTTTTCATAGATTAATCTTTGTATTTAATAAAGTTTATTTAAATATTTTTAGGTATGTGTTATTAACCTTTTTTTAACTGTAGGTAAGCAACATTCTCAAAGTGACAAACGAAATCTGGCAGTATCTTAGTACTCTCAAATAATTTGGTATTCAAACACAGATTCTGGAAAAAAGTCACTTGGTACTCAACTGAACAAGCACTATCCACTAGAACAAATTTTTGATTTATAACATATTTTTATTTTGTCATCCATAAAAATTTTTAATGATAAAAATGAAAAATATGAAAATGTTGCTGATACTTTTGATCAAATCAACAAAAAACCTGAGATGACAACAATTCTTTGTAAAAAGAAAATAACCTCGTTTAACTAAAATTAATATTAAAATGTAATACAGTACTTTAATTGTGACTGGTAATTGATTATTGATTGGAAATAAATTATCAATTGCTTTCATAAATGTATTTCCCTTAGCAAAAGTATATTATTTTTTGATTACTAACTTCTGGAACTTACCCTATGTTTTGCATTAGTCCTTTGTTTCATATAGACAGATTCACATAACATGGCACTTTTTTGGAACATAACTACCATGTTATATGAGGAATACCTGTATATTATTTTAAACTATCTTATTTTATTTAATAAAATTACAAAGCAAATAATATTATGTACTAATAGTAGATTTCTCTATAAAATTTTAAAATTTACTACTTTTAATAATTTAGAATTGTTATTCTTGAATAAAGTATTATTGATGTGTGCAGTCATTTACTAAAACAAAAATTTAAAATTAATATTTGTTTTAAGGAAATATGCAATTAACACAATTATGACAATCATAGAGCTTCTCAATTAGTAGAAACTGTCTACTGTGGATCACAATCTAATCGAGACTAGAGGTTAAAATCTTTTAAATTTTTCAATCTCAATCTTCTTTCCATGCATTTTTCATTATGGATTACTTCAAGCTTACATTAAGGATTTTGGCAAGAGACAGATAACATGCCAGAAGTAAGAAAGACTGTTGAGAAGAACAATTATATAATCTATTTTATTGTGCGTGAAAGTTTACACTTATTTGTTTCTCTAATATAATTAAAAGCTACGCTATCATTTTTTGTCACAAGCATAACATTCTTACAAGAAAAGTTTTTAATTAAAAACTGTTATAACTAGAATAAAATAATTATCTGAAATTTTAATATTTCGTTTTGTTCAATTTTAAAATATCAATAATCAGCAGGTTACTAAATTAAAATTACCAACATTTCATCTTAGAAATAGAAATATTTTTATTCCTTATTTCAAAATTAATAAACGAGCAAAAATTATTGTGACATCGTCACAATGCCAGGTTGCAATTTTTAATCATATTATTAATTTATTAAATTTAAAATGTATGCTCTCAATCTCCAATTAGTAGTGTCTTGCCCCTGAACATCATATTTTTCCTGCTAACAGAGTCATGCTAATCATCTATGTAACTCCATTCTGGAAAAATTTTTGAATTGAAATCACATGACTTTTGGTCTAGATCAGAAGTTTGTGCATAGTTAATCTGAGGCTCCTGCCCGTAAACTTTCATTTCTGGTCTTGACTTTCTTCTATCTATTACCATTCTTGAGATTAAGGAAGAACAGATAAACAAACAGATGACACTGGAAATTTATGTCTACAAATTTTTCAAATCACAGCCCAATAAATGAAATTTGTCTAATTGAATAATTAATCAGGAAATAATTTGGATTTCTATTACTACTACAGGTAATCCCCGTATAACACGGTAGTTACGTTCCAAAAAATTGCCGTGTTATGCGAATCCGTGTTATGCGAAACAAAGAACTAGTACGAAAAGGAGGGTTAGGTTCCAGAAATTAAAAAACATGCTAGTATATTTTCATAATTAAGATAAATATCTTTATTAAAATTTTCTTAAATGATACATATTACGGTAATATAAATTAAACAATGTTTTCTTTGTCACCACTAAAAGCACTATTAACCGAGAGCGTTTTATTTTTGGCAAGTTATCGTTATCCTCTGAGCATTTTTCTGCATTATTTTCAGATTCATGCTTTACCTTTTGCAAAAAGTGTATGTAATTTTAGATTGCTTGCTTCTAGTTAAAAGATCTTTATAAATTTCCTTATATGGTGCTAAGCACTTATGGAATAAGGGAAAAACATCTGGCAACACCAGAAGCAGAAGCGTCAAGATATGGCAACATTGAAACAATTTTCGCGAAGGATCATGTGTATGGAGATGAGAAAAGAAAATTTACACACTGAAGTACTAATAGTTCACGAAAATAATAATTTTCGTGAACTATTAGTACTTAAATATGTAAAAATTTATTACATTTCATGTTGTACGAGGGTTTTACCCATTTCTCGAACCGTGTCAGAGTGAATCCGTGTTATAAAAGTACCGTGTTATACGGGGGATGGTAGCAATTCTCGAACCGTGTTAGAGCGAATCCGTGCTATAGAAGTACCGTGTTATACGGGGGTTACCTGTACTATATTTCTGAAAATTTCAAGAATCTAGTATAAAATTAGTTTAAAACAGTTTTTGGAAGAACTTATAGTTCTAATCTTTCCATTTCTTTAATAATCTCAATGAAAATATATATTACATATATACAAATAACTTGTTCATGTATTATATTGGCTGAATCAGTATTAAGTATTTAATTGTAACAATCTTATATGAGAAAAGACACACGAAAGCATGGATCTCATCATACTGATTTTAACACAAGACTTAAGAAATGGAGTAATCAAACTATTTTTTTATTAATTATGTATCTTGAGCCTAGTACTTATTTGTCTCAGTAAAAATATCTAAAAAATTTGAATTTTTACTAATATATTTTTATTTAATAAAAACAAAAAGTAAATATTTTCTTAACAGTTTAGAGAGAAAGTTTAAAAAGTTTATGCTTTTAGTTCTAAAAAGAAAACTGTTGATATTTTTATTTTTGAAATAATATAAATCTTTAACTAAAATCTATATTTTACAAGTAGCTGTAAAAATTCAAATATAAATGCCTTTGAAAGAACATGATATTCTAAATATTTTAAATATAATCAAGTCATAAAACAATGTAGCCTGAAGGTTGTTGGAGTTAAATCTTAAAATTCATCATTATTAAAAATCTTGCTGGTTGTACAGATATTGTTGATTAATAATAAAATTACCACTTATGTTTCTATGGTTCATAATTAAACTATTTCATTGTTTATTTTCATAAAATTCTTGTAAAATAAATTTACAAAATTATGAGTTTACAAATTTAAACTGTTTTTATATACTGTACTGTATAACAAAATCAGTTTTTAAAGTAACTTTCAAATGAACCATTTATTTTAAAAAATTTTTAAAATTATTTTTCAAAGTTAAGAAATGGTTTTTATATCTGAAAATTCTCATTTCAATATGAATTTCATTTGCATTTTTGTATTAAATTTGAAAAAATCCAAATAAATAAAGTTTTAAAGAGAGAACTCTATCAAAATCTACATGTTATGTGTAGCATGAACAATATAATGGATAACACCAAACTGCAAAAAACAATAAAAACACCAAAAAATTGAATTAGTATGGATGGAAGAGCACTATCAGAGCAATTGCAGAACAGCAGAATATCTATAGAAACATGTGAAGTCTAAGATGTTGCATCTTGCATCATAATGCAGCATCTTAGGCTGAGACTTTACCAATGCATGTCCCTCACAGATTAGCAAAAAACTGCCTGGAAACTTTGCAAAACATCTTAGAGATGTTTATTATTGACCCAGATTGTTATTACTGCTAATGAAATGTTAAACATTATTGGTAATATTTTTTGACATAAAGATAATTGTTTATCATGAATTTAATCTTAAAGACCAAGCAACATGTCAACCTTACCTTATTTTACAGTGATTATGCAAAGAAATTTGCCTGAGAAAAACTGAAAAATGAAAACAAAATAGGATATCACCATGGTAACACCACACCATACACTACCAGTAAATCCACTTATCTTTTGAAACAAGAATTGCTATTCATTCATAATAACCTAACTAGTATCAAAGATTTTTTCCTTTACTTAAAGTTGAAAAAGTCTTCAAAAAGAAAAATAATTTAAGTGAACAAAAACTTGTAAAAAAAACAAAAAAAGGCTGGCTTTTCTAAATGTTTCCTGAATTGGAGAAAGTGTATTGAAGCTCAGACTGATTATTCTGAAAAATATTAAATATAAATATTTTTATATTTGAATATCATTTGAATTTTTTGAACCATTCCTGAGTTTTTTAACACACCTTATAGATTAATATGTAACCGTAAAGTTATTTAATACTACATCCTATGAAGCCACATTATTATACACAGTTCATCAGTATTTAATTCATTATTCTAATTTTTATATAATGCTACAATAATGAATCAAATACTATAATACACATTACACAAGTATTTTTAATTTGACAAACATTAGATACAGTAGAGCGTTTATCCGAAAGCTGGTTATCCAAAAGCATTCCAGTCGGCAAATTTAAATTTTTGCTAGTGCTGTGGCGCTGCAATCTTCGGCTATTTCCCGGGCTACTCAAATATTTTACGTTTTTGATACTAAATTAACTTCTGAAGTATAATTTTTTATTGTTTTTATATTTTTCAATAAATTTATTTTGTTTGTACAAAATAAAAAAATAATTTTTAACGATACAATAGTCTTCGTTAGGCTTAACATCGACGAAAAGTCAACGTGAAGCGACACGCAACGGAGAGAAATTTCAACATGGGATAAATTAATATATTTTTTTGTACATGATTCGTTATCTGAACCACCTCAGTCCCCAATTGATTCAGATAAACGACGCTCTACTGTATGAATAATTAATTTTAGGAATTACCTGAAGTCACTAATATTAATTTACTTTAATTCTCATAAAATAACTTAAAAACATAGTATGGAATTCATGCCAGAACACTTACTTGAGAGAAAAAGAATAAGTCAACAAAAAACAGCATTAAAGAGCCTTTTTTTTAAATTTCTTTAATTCTGTATTATTGACTTAAAAATCAAAATTGCTTCGAAATTAGTTATATTTACATAATTAGAATTTAACATAGCATTGTATAATACTATATAATAAAACAGATATCAAATATAATTGAAACTTACCTAATTAAATCAATACTTTCAGCCAACTTTTTAAGTCTGACATGTAAATCTTGAGCATCTTTTAAATTATATCTTGTTTCACCAGCACTGCATATGAAAAAATTTAATTTCAATTAAATGATTATTATTATTATGTTGCAAATGCTCAGCTGGAGCCAAGTGCTATGCTAGACTGAAGTCATTTTTACAGAAATCATTTTTACGAATCAAACATATTTAAATATTATTTAATTAACATGGACCTGTTGACATCTGACCCAGATGTCAACAGATCCAGGTCAACCTAAAGGAGACATATGTATCTTAATAAAAAAAGAATTTATGCAAAATTCTTCAAATTAACAAATCTGATAACTTTATAATGATATTAATTTTAGTGATGTGATTAACCTAAAATTCAAGAATCTAAGAACCAAACTCATGATTGTGATGGTTACTTATATTCCTCCAGATTGTTTAGATATATTAAAAGGAGTTTTTAAATCAATAAGTCATGGCAGCATATCACATCATATATCCTTTTGTTGGAGGACTAACTCTTGTATAGCTGAAACAAATGATTATTATACTGGTCCCAACAAACTAATACAGAATATTTGACATTCAAAAGACATACATACCAACAGACTAGGCCAAAATTTAATAAACTTAACAATAGATCATGAAATAGATTTAATATGACCATTTAATAAGTACAACTATCCTGCTGAATATACCAACATAGTGCATAATGAGAAATCTACAATCAACTTTACTTTTTGCACAGAGTTTCTGTTGGATTTGTGTATGGAATTTACTATAACAACTTATGATGCCTTTGATCATTTTCCTTCAATATCAAAATTTCTTGTGTGTATGTGTGTAAAAAAAACTTCATAATAGTTACCAAAAAAGAAACTATATGATTTTTTAAGATACTTGAGCAAAATAAAGAACCAGTTTTTACTTCATATATTGTTTGTATATATATATATTCATTCATTAATTGTTCCATGGCTATATAAATTTCATCACAATTAATGAATGAATATATATATATATAATACATGAAGTAAAAATTTTGCATCATAAGTTCAAGAAACCCTGGTTTGATTTTGCTTGCTACAAGATGAAACTATTAAAACAGCAAAACCTAAATTATTCAGAAAAAACTCAAAGATTCACTTAATTGATAAAATTAGGAAGTTATATATTAATCACCTCAGTAAGCTTAGTTGTATTCCAGTATTTTCTTAAAAATGACAAATGTTTTCAAACAGCTTGACTGTCCTGTTCCAGGTCAGTTATACATGTTCCATTTAGAATGTTCATTCTATTGCATTATATTGGGTTGTTCAGAAAGTAAGTTTGTTTTTTTTTCCCACTAGATGGATTAGTCATATTTTTCCACTCATTTTCATTCTAAACCGTATTATCATTATATATTTTGACAGCTAGCATTTTATGGATTATTTGTAAAAAATTTTGTTTGATTTCGTGCAATTGTTTATTTTGTGTGTCCCATCAAATATGGAAGATCGAAAGCAGCATCTTCGGCATATTTTGCGTTTTTTTTTTTACCAAAAAAATAAAAATGCCATTCAAGCGAGAAAAAAATCGTCTGACATGTATGGTGGAGTTGTGTTGACAGAACAACAGTGCCAAAACTGGTTTATAAAATTTCATTCTCGCAATTTCAGTATTGAAAATGCACCATGTTATGGATGGCCAATTGAAGCCAATGAAAACAAAATAAAAGTACCGATTGAAGCAAACTGCGGAATAACAACACGTGAAATCACTAAGAAATTAAATTTGTCAAATTGAACTGTTTATGAGTACTTGAAACAAATTGGTTTCGTTTCAAAGCTCGATATATGAATTCCACGAGTTCTTAAAAGAGAAATGCTCTATTTGGTGGGATATTAAGGAAATTTTTTTTAGAGCTTTTACCAGACAATTTAACAATTGATTCGAAAGGGTACTGCATTCGAGTAAACAAATTACGTAATATCATCAAACAGAAAAAGCCGGCCAGAATTGATAAAAAAACAGGTGTAGTGTTTTACCACAATAATTTCAAATTTCACACAAGTTTGGTAACTCGTCAGAAACTGTTATAACTTAGATGGGACGTGTTATCACACCAACGGTATTCGCCAGATTGAGCACACTCGGATTATTACTTGTTCTGGCCTATACAATTTTTTTTAACTGTAAGACATTTACTTGAAATGACAATGTCAAAAATCACTTGGATCGGTTTTTTGTAAGCAACGATCAAAACTTTTATGAATGTGAAATTGTGCTACTACCAGAAACGATGACAACAGGTATTTGACCAAAATGGTCAACATATAATTCAATAAAATATTTATTTATTATAAGAATATTGCGTTTTTTTCCACGGAAAAAAAACTAACTTACTTTCCGAACAACCCAATACATTCAAATTGAATTCAAACAAATTTATAGTAATTTGCTTAAAGCCAAAAATAAAAAATATTTTGGAAATCTGGAATCCACCCTGATCAATAAGTGTAGGAACACTAAATTACTCTAAACAACAATACATAAATTTCATTTTAAAATACATTCTGGAAATAGTTCTCCAGTTATTAACTTTGACACATCAAAAAACTTCTATCAGCTCTTCCCCATAATTACACCTATTCAACCATTCTTAATTAATACTGCTACCCATAATAACTATTTGAACTCTAAAACCACAACAGAAGAGCTAGATGACTCAAACAAGATACAAATAGAATCATCACCAGGTAGCAATAATAATCCAACCATATTTCTTAAATTGATTCCTTGTTTGGAAAGAAAGGAACTACTAGATTTATTTAACTCAATGTATAATGCAGCGTCATATCCAATTTCATGGAACTCAGTCTGGCTTGTTATGTTTTTCAAAAGGAGAGATAAATTATCCCCTAACAATTACAGACAAATAGCTCTTCTTTCAACTCTGAGAAAATGTTTCACAGCAATAATGGCAAAATATTTCAAAAATTGACACAAGACTGGAACCTAGAATCAAAATTTCAATATGCATATACAAGAAATAGATGCACAGAATCATCAACTTTTTTGTTACTGTTATTAATACAATTACATCTAACTAAAAAGTATATGAAATTATACACAGCTTTCATAGATATTCAAAAAGCCTTCAATACAGTATATGTTCCTTTACTAGTGCACAACTTAAAAAATATGGAAATAGGAGAAAAATTTTCTTCATTGGTGTCAAAATTATTCTCAGAATATAATATAAAAATTATACAAGGAAATACCATATCCTCTTCTTTTAGCTTATTATGAGGAATTCTTCAAGCTGATTCACTCTCATCATATTTATTTAATTTTTACTTAATTGGAATTGATCAACTTTTTCAAAACTCTCTTGATAGTAACGAAATTAGTAATAGAGTTTTTCATTATATTCTATTTGTGGATGATCTAGCTATTATGGTACCAACCAAAGTTTCCTTGCAGAGAAAAAATTAATCAGTTGAATTTATATGTCAAATTACTTCACCCAATAATAAATCCTAACAAAATAAACAATTATTTTCCTCAATAATAATAATCTCTCTTAAAAAAATTCTAAAATATATCTAAAATCTCCAAACAGTTAAGGAAATTGACTGTTTAGGAGTGACCTTCAACTGGAATATTAGTTTTAAATATATCACATTTCCAAACTAAATAATAAGGTGAAAATAGCAATTGATAACCTGCTATACTTATGTTCAACTTTAAAAATATCAAATCTGCACTTACATATAAAATTATACAACTCACTGATAAATCAAATCATTTATTATGCAGGCCCAGTATGGGGATTGAATTATTTATACAAATTCGAACAGTTTCATGTTTATTTTCTTCAAAGATTACTTCAAATAGAAAGAACAGCACCCAGTTATGCAATATAATTAATGTCTAAATTAATTAATGTAGGTGTATTGAATGTTATTTGAAATATGTAAATTGTCCCTGTACAACAGGGACTACATTCTTTGCTAATAAAGATTTATTATTATAAATAAAAATCATATAAATATAAAAACAAAATAGCAATAGTTTTATTTGTAATTGGCCATCATTTCATATTTATATTTTCAATTTCAAATTTCTAAACCATAGATTTCTCTTTTATAACAATTATTTAATGTATTACAATTATTACTAATGATAAAACATATTTTGCATTTCTAATGAATAGACTACCAAATTCTATTATTTAAAAATAATTATATCAATTAATAACCTTTTCAATTGGAAAATTAAATATGTACTTACTTAATGGAATCTGCTTTTTTGCAATAAATTGGAATTAACTTTTTAGCTTCTTCAATATCCTCTTTCAATTTCTATATAAAGTTAAATATCTTATTTTCAGAAAAAATAAAATTTATTTAATAAATATAATTATAAAAATTAATACAGTAAATACAATTGAAATGTTCATCACAAAGTGGCAATGTTTGAATGGAGTTACATTTTTCTAAAGTTTTTGGATTGACTATAAATATTTGAATAATATATTATTCAAATATGTAGTCAGCAATCAATAAATAGCCAATAATTTGTGTTCACTATTAAATAAAAAATGTTTAAAAATTTAATTGTTTATAAAAATATTCACAAATTAGAACAAACAATAAATGTTTTCATATTCTGTTCTTTTTCAACATGTCAGGAACTATCTAATTTGTAGTATTTTCATATCTTATTATTGTCCTGTTTGTCCTAGCCATTATACTTATTAAATATTCATTAATAAAATTTTATGATTGTGCCATATCCATTTTAAGGTTCAGGGTGGATGGTCAGTGTAGCCCACACTCACTACTACTGTTAGTACTACTGTCAATAAATCGTAAATTGTTTTATTGTCTTGTAAATAAAAACTCTTTTTATGATTTTAAGTCAGTCAAATTACAATGTTATTTCATTGTACTAGGAAGAATGCTTTCTTTAACATTTCATTAACAACTAGTTTTTTTAATCTAATTAATTTTATATTTTATTCACAGTTTAACCAACATGCTGGAAACCCCAGGTTTTCGGGCATGCTGGTCATTCTGCAAAATATAGTAAAAGCTGGTGTCTTATTATCTTTTCAAAAGATTAATCTTAAAATAAGTTAACAGATTTAGTGTCACACAATAATATGGATATGAATAAAATGTAAGTTTTGAAAATTAATTAATTAATTCTGAAATTTCATATTATTAGAAATATGTTGCTCTTTATAATACTGATTTATCTTCAAAAAAATAATCAAAGATAAATTACTTCTTTTATAGTCTTTTACTACATTCAATTAATATATCCAAATCAACTTAACAAAGTGCAAATTTTTAAGATAAGATTGGGATAATTATTACAAATATAATTTTTCAAGCATATACTCATGTTACAGAATTTGGCAAAGATAACAGAAACTTAAAAAATGTATAGTTTTAATCTGTTCTTTTTATTACCTACTTTTATTTATCTTGCAGTATGAGGGCATATGTCATTATTACATTTACCCTTCAGTTTTTAGTCTTCTTTTACAATAAATGTTTTATAACAAAAGAAAACAACTCTATAATTGTGAAAAATTGAAATAATCCAAGAATTAGTGTGTGAATTAAAGAAGTGGTTAAATGTAGAAAATGTATAAATTTGCTTTTTAAGAAGAAATTTGAGAGGTATGAAAGTACAATATTGTTAAAATAACAATTATCAATATTAAAAAATTTTAAAGTAAAAAAAATATAATAATAAAAATGTGATTTAATTCAGGTGTATAACTTTTTTTTTAATAATATTGAGTATGTTGTTTTAATAGTTTATATATGTATTTTGTTGTTTACTGCATTTAGTTCTATTTTTATGATTATAATAAAAATCCATTCAATTTCATATCTACTACTATAACAAGTGTCATCTATAAAAAAATAATGGGTGATTTTATCACCCATGAATGTTACAAACTGTGTTAAAAATCAGATGTCCCTACTTTCCTTAAAAAGATTTCTAACATATTTTTAAAAACAGAAAATAGCTTAAAAAGTTATATGATTATATTTTAAATTTATATTGTATTCAGTCAAATAAAGAAGCTTTGACAAAAGAAACGGGTTCATAAGTTATATACAGTCATTAACTGTTACTTGCTACATTCATTGTTAGAGACATACAATAAATCATTAAAAATGGATATGGCAAGAAATGGTTGTAACAAGTAAATGAATTTGGTCCCTTCATTTTCATTATAACCAAGTTTGACTCTATTAGATAAATGTTTAATGTTACATATAAATTTTTTGCATTGGTACATTTTACCAGCTCCATCACATTGATTCATCATCTTCAGGCAAAAGAATTCACCTGAAAATAATGAATATGCTTCACTGAAAGTGGTAGCATTTAAGAATTTAATAAAATTCTTTCAAGTTTAACAATGCATGAGAGTTTGTTATTTATTTATTTCTACTTTATACACGGCATCAAGTGCCTGCCTTTATCTTTCAGGATTTATTTGAATCCTGGAGTTTAATCAATAAAATATTGCAATTCATTTAAAAATTTTGTTTATCAACACACAGACTGTAAGAAAAGAAATCAACTTAAAAAGAATAAAAAGTTTAATAATTAGGTAATAAGTTGCATGATTATCAGAGAATCAAAGTATAATAATTTATATATTAGAAAATTGATAATATATATAAATTCATCATTATAAATCAGCAATAACAGATTTTTTTTGTGTGTAAAATTACATAATATATAAAAAAATTTTTATATTAAGTTTTTTTAAAAGTCAGAATAAAAATATTTTTCTTTACTTTAAGAAATGAAGTTTTATATTAAAAAATAAATTTCTAGCTTGTAATCACTTGATGAAGTCAAATACCTAATTTGAAAATAAATGTGTAAATTCAAAATAGTATAAAATTAAATGAATAATATATAGAAAAGGGATGAGAACCTTAATAGAAATCAAAAAAGTAGCAAAAATTTGTGCTTCCTACTAAAATTCATCAAACTTATATTTAGGAATAATGAACTGTGAACTGATTAAAACACTTTTATTGTTGTATTTAAAAACTGCAAAAATACCTCATACATCTGGGCAATAACAGATTTGCCTTTCTGCCTTTCCACTTGTTGATCGCGTCGATTTAACAGTGTCATGCAGTCTTTACAGACACGAATATGTGGTTCTCCAGTCTGACTGACTAAAGATAGAATGCTACTAGTGCTACCTCTTCTTTGAAGAGATTTAGAATATGAATTAGAAGTTACTGGAGTTTCCCAACTCATACATGGATAAGTTAACTTTTCTGTAAAACAGATTTATATTTATTATTTTGAATTAAATATATAATGAAATAACTACTACATACTTGCACTTGGAAAATCCAGAAACCGTGAACAGTTGTTACACATAATTGCACCACACAAACGACAATGATGTTTTCTCCTTGACAAGTTAAAACTTCGTGCACACCCAGGACATAATCTTACATCTGCATCAGGAATCCAATGCACAATATTTTTCTCTTGAGCTTTGAAAATGAATTAATATGTTATTTAATAGAAAAACAAATATAATTTATTCCAATAAATTAAGAATATTAGAAGTTTATTATAAAAAAAAATAAAAACTTTTTTGCTAGTTCTTGCTGTTAAAATCTACAAATAATGTGTAAATTTTATAACAACCTTTAAGAAATAGAAGTAATAATGTCGATAATTTTTTAAATTTTTTCTGTAAAAGTTCGTCCGATGGAGAATTAGTTTTAATAAAATAAAAGACAAAACTGTCCAAAAAGGCTTTATGGTGACAAGTAGCCTAAAAAGGAAGGTCAGTCGCCGAAAATGTTTTAGTCTTGGAACACAAGTAATAAATGGTGATCCTTTTTGGACAGTTTTGTCTTTTATTTTATTAAAATTTTTTTTATATTAATTTAATTATATTAGTAATATTATATAGTTTAAAATAATTTTTTCACATTTTAGAAAAAATGTGAAAAAATTATTCTATTACTATAAAATACATCACTTTTAAACTAAACAGAATTTTTTTGACTTATTGAAAAATTACAGACAAGATATTGTTATAATCTATAATCTGTTACAATCTATAATTATTTATTCAATGTAATAAAATATTTCTACACAAAAATCACACCTGAAGATTTATAAATAATACAATTTGAATAAAATGTTTTATATTATTCTGCTCTATAATATAAATTTTAATATACCTTTTCTTTTATCAGGATCTAGAGGTGCATCTTTTATCAACTTATCAAGTCTAATAAGAAGTTTATTAGTTTCAATCACATATTGATCAACACGAGTGTCTCTAATCTTACGAAAATAATCTGTATGTCTTGACATAACTCCTAAAAGATAATTATAACATTAATTAAATAAAATCATAACTTCTGAAATTATACAAGTTAAAACTCACCTAACTGTTGTGGCTCTCTTGTATACTCTGTATTACATTGATTAAAAGAAACAGAGTCTTCCAATTCACTGTGTGAATAAGAATTTTCATCATCTTGTTTCAGTAATTTTTTCTTTGCCTTTCCTAAGAAACAATTTTAACTGATTAAAGAAATAACTTAACTAAAGATATAAAATATTATTATTGCATCTTTTAACAGAAACTCAACCTATGAACTCTTTAAAAATATGTAATACATCTGGTTCTTCAGAAATGTGTGCAACTGAAAAGTGATCTTGTAACTGCTCAATAGTGTGGAAATCATTAAAACAAATGGGACACAGTAAACCTTCACGAACCTCTCCATCCAAATTATCTAATAAATTAGATGCCATTCTATAAAATTAAAATTTATTAATTAATTTTTCAAGACTTTAAAATGACAAATTTTATTAGTGAAATTTTCTTTTAAAATTATTGGTATTATTTCATCTAAATGTAAATTATTAATAAAATTTATGGAATAGCATTCCAGTCGGCAAATTTAAATTTTTGCCAGTGCTGTGGCGCTGCAATCTTTGGCTATGTCTTGGGCTACTCTATACAATCATAGTTACTCCACTTAATTAAAAAATAAACAGAAGAAATATAACTTAGCATATTTATTTACTTGTAATTTAATTATATAAAAATGCATANTATACAATCATAGTTACTCCACTTAATTAAAAAATAAACAGAAGAAATATAACTTAGCATATTTATTTACTTGTAATTTAATTATATAAAAATGCATAATACATGCTTTTATCATAAAGATACATTTAAACCAAGACTAATTATTCAATAAAAGAAATTAAGATTGTATTCATAGATCTGCTTTTCATTAAAATCATCAACATGGTTGTTTTTGGCTTATTTTATACAAATAAATTAAAGTCTGGAGAATATTTTTACAATTAACATAAATAAGATAACATAAAATTTTACACAAATATAATGCACTGTTAAAAAAAACTATAGATTATCCCACAAAAAATAAAATGAAATTTTACTTCTCTCTTTTAAATTAATAATAATTTTGTAAGAATTTTGCACAATCATACCAAAACTAATTTTTATATCATGATAAGTGCAACACATTATAACACAAATCATCACATCACATTTAAAAATTATGTAAAATAAAAATCATATAAATCATGACCATGTTATGACTGCTATTTAAGGATTTTTAAAGAAAAATAGATTAGTACATTTATAATACAGACTTCACACCAAGATGCACAAGTAAACATGAGTTATTTCATATAAATAAGGATAAATTTTGATAGAAGATTGTTAATATGATCTTATTTGTTTTATATGTAAGACTAGGTTTCCATACATCCTCTTTTCAACAGACATATCCTCTTCTACAGATGTAAAATTTTTAAAGATAGATAAAAACATATAGCAAAAAGCAAACTTGAAAATGTATACATTAAAACCACTAAAACTTATAACCAAGCAATTTTTTTAATAAGTGCAAATGTGTTAACTAAAGAATAGCTTAACAATCTGCTTTTCATTAAAATCATCAACATGGTTGTTTTTGGCTTATTCATGCATGTTAAATGGGCATCATCAGGCTAACTAATCCCCAGTTGTTGAAACCATGGGGGATTGCCACACACCTATGAAAAGGGNTAATTAAACATTCTTACAGCATTAACAAAATATGTTAACTAAAGAATAGCTTAACAACACAAAAAAGGTAATCTTATTATTTTTCACTGATCTGTTTAGTGTAGTTAAATGGAATAATTAGTTATGAATGCTATACAATCATAGTTACTCCACTTAATTAAAAAATAAACAGAAGAAATATAACTTAGCATATTTATTTACTTGTAATTTAATTATATAAAAATGCATAATACATGCTTTTATCATAAAGATACATTTAAACCAAGACTAATTATTCAATAAAAGAAATTAAGATTGTATTCATAGATCTGCTTTTCATTAAAATCATCAACATGGTTGTTTTTGGCTTATTTTATACAAATAAATTAAAGTCTGGAGAATATTTTTACAATTAACATAAATAAGATAACATAAAATTTTACACAAATATAATGCACTGTTAAAAAAAACTATAGGTTATCCCACAAAAAATAAAATGAAATTTTACTTCTCTCTTTTAAATTAATAATAATTTTTTAAGAATTTTGCACAATCATACCAAAACTAATTTTTATATCATGATAAGTGCAACACATTATAACACAAATCATCACATCACATTTAAAAATTATGTAAAATAAAAATCATATAAATCATGACCATGTTATGACTGCTATTTAAGGATTTTTAAAGAAAAATAGATTAGTACATTTATAATACAGACTTCACACCAAGATGCACAAGTAAACATGAGTTATTTCATATAAATAAGGATAAATTTTGATAGAAGATTGTTAATATGATCTTATTTGTTTTATATGTAAGACTAGGTTTCCATACATCCTCTTTTCAACAGACATTTCTTCTACAGATGTAAAATTTTTAAAGATAGATAAAAACATATAGCAAAAAGCAAACTTGAAAATGTATACATTAAAACCACTAAAACTTATAACCAAGCAATTTTTTTAATAAGTGCAAATGTGTTAACTAAAGAATAGCTTAACAATCTGCTTTTCATTAAAATCATCAACATGGTTGTTTTTGGCTTATTCATGCATGTTAAATGGGCATCATCAGGCTAACTAATCCCCAGTTGTTGAAACCATGGGGGATTGCCACACACCTATGAAAAGGGAAGGGGATTGCTGGATTATAGGTTTTAGTGTTTTTTAATTCAAGTATAACCAGTTTTGAGTGGCAGAAATATGTATATATTATTGTATTTCCTTATTTTTCATTATAAAATAAAACTTACAAAGATTGATATATTGTTACTTTATCAAAACTTCTCTTAAATATTCTTTTTATAATTTGTTTACGATAATCCTGTTTAATCTCTATACAAAAATTTTTGTTTAATTTCAGCACACTTATAAATCTTGAGGAAATTTTTTTAGATTTAAACATTTATTATATACACTATTACCCTAAAAATTTTTATTACAAAACAGAAAATATACAATTACAGGATTTATTACAAAACAGAAAATATACAATTACAGGATTTGTCAAAATTAGAAACCTATGATATTTCTTAATAAAAATTCATTTCTGCACTCATTACATTAAAATTTGTACTTTTATAGAAAAATAATGCTTAATTATCAGGCATTACTTTTCTATTTATTAAAATAATTTGTTATTAATATAATTGAATAATAATAAAATTCAAATGTAACTGAAAAGACTTTTTTTCTAAATCTTTCTTTTTTTCCATTAAAGAAGTCTTAAATGTGTAAAGGATATAAGTATTCTTAATAAATTTTATTTTTTATTTTTTCCATGTTTGAAAAGAGTAAAGTTAGATTAGACCTGTAATATTCCAATAAATTCATAATTTTCATAATTACATCAGATTTTAATGTAAATCTCAATGATAATTTCAAATTAGCAACATTTTCAATCTTTCTTTAATTTCATGTCAAATTTAATTAATATTAGATGTATTAATGATCATTCCAAATTATTTCTACAGTTTATATATATCAAAAAACAAATACCTATCTATTTAAATTAAAGCTAGTTTGATACAGTTACTCTCAATAAAGATTTGGAAATTGGACAATAAAGAAACAAAATTTATTTTAAAAAGAAATAGAATAAACCAAAAGTATATTGTGATTGGAATATACAAAAAAATCAAAGTAAAATGATATTAATATTTCAATTTCATATCTGTTGGGAGAATTTTTATGAAACAGTAAGCACTTGAAAGTGTACCACAGAACTTGCAAAAGAAAAAAAAAAATGCTTGAACATAACTACAGCCTGTATGGGCTCAAACAATGATACTCAGATGCTGCAGCAGCTAAAAACTTGTGTTTATATGGAAATCTCTCCTTACAACCTTGGAGCCATGCAACACTCCCACACTTGACATGTCCAGTGTGTGGGTTGCCTTATATAAACAGTTAAATAGTGATGGACTTCTGCTATCATACCTTTAACATGGGTCTATATCCACATATGTGCTGCAAGACGTCACAACTTTTAGTGTAATCGAACTTTGTAGCACATTCATAACAGTTTTTTAGTTTTTTAATTTTAAATACAGGTAACCCCCGTATAACACGGTAGTTACGTTCCAAAAAATTGCCGTGTTATGCGAATCCGTGTTATACGAAACAAAGAACTAATACGAAAAGGAGGGTTAGGTTCCAAAAATTAAAAAACATGCTAGTATATATTTTCATNAATTCCAGTCGACAAATTTAAATTTTCGCCAGTGCTGTGGCGCTGTAATCTTTGGCTATGTCTTCGGCTACTCAAATATTTTACGTTTTTGATACTAAATTAACTTCTGAAGTATAATTTTTTATTGTTTTTATATTTTTCAATATATTTATTTTGTTTGTACAAAATAAAAAAATAATTTTTAACGATACAATAGTCTTCGTTAAGCTTAACATAGACGAAAATTCAACGCGAAGCGACACACAACGAAGAAAAATTTCAACACGGGATAAATTAATATATTTTTTCGTACATAATTGGTTATCCGAAAAATAAGTTATCCGAACAACCCCAGTCCCCAATTGATTCGGATAAATGACGCTCTACTATACTTAAGTATGTAAAAATTTATTACATTTCCTGTTGTACGAGGGTTTTACCCAATTCTCGAACCGTGTTAGAGCTAATCCGTGCTATAGAAGTGCCGTGTTATACGGGGGTTACCTGTAATGTGTGTTCCATTTAGTACATTGTATTCTGTTTTTAAAGTTTTGTTCACCTGATGATGATGAACATGTTTTGAAAGTGGTAGTGAAAATAAAAAACAGTTAATGCCACACTCAGTGTGTCTTTACTTCCTCTTATCTAATATTTAGCGTGAAGATTAAACTATATTAAGCAAATACTTTTCATCCTTTGTATTCATATGTCAACTTTTGGCTCTTCTGACATATTAAAAAAATAATTTTTTTATATATAAATTATAAAATACAATGTAAAATTATTTTATATAAAATCACAAAAAACACTTTTGCATAATAATAGAATAAAACATTTTGGTAACATATAACCTTCAAAACAGAACATTATTTTATTTGTATTAATATTTACATTATTTGCCATTTTATTTCTAATATCATAAATTTTGAAAGTTAAATTTATATAGCTACTTCAACATTCTTTACTATTAACTTGTATAATTACATTAATGGAACAACATTGTATAAAATAAATATATTAACTGGTTTTAATGAACATTTAATAAACAAATAAATATTCAA